ATTAAAGAGTGAACAAGATAACAAATATAAAACATGTTAGTATTAAACATTAAAGTCCATATTAAGTTTACACTATACTTATTCTTACACCATTAGTGTAACCTTTTCACCTTGACATAATAAACTTAGCTAGACATAATGAAAGCAAGAAAAATAAATAAACAAAATAACAACATAAATAAGATAAAAGTTGACTAAGTAAATGAAAGGAAATGAAAGTTATAAACTTGATATTAATGAAAGTAAGGCATAAACATTACAAAAAATACAAAGAGAGAAAGCAAGAGCATGATCTTGATCTAGAAACCAAGATGCCTAAATGCATGGCAAATGCCTCCTTTTATAGGCCAAAAATGAAAACTATTGATTTGATGACTAATTGATGAGTAGGTGACCAACTTTTGACTTGATGACAATCCTTATCTTCTCTTATCTACCCAAAAAGTCATTGATAACGTCAAAATTGGAGTCGCTTGAACATGAAAGTTGTAGAAAATTATCTCAGCTTTCTTGTGTAAAACATTCAGCTCATTTGGACTTTTAAAACTCTAAATATGGGCTAAATATTGAACAGTGCTTGGGCTGGAAGACAGATTCGAGCTTCTTTGTTGTTGCTATAATTTGGACTTGAAAATGGCCTTTTTAGATCTTGGGCTCCATATGAAAGTTGTAAGTCTATGTCTTACCTTTCCATCCATATAAATTGGATCTAAATCTGAGATCTACAACTCCAGATATGACCCAATTACCGAACAGTGTTCTAGTGTGGACTGCATCGGCATCTCTTTTCTAAGTTTGGTCATCTCTTTGTCCTTTCAATTTTAGTTCTTAAATTCATCAATCAATCCTTTCATTTATGTGATAAGCCTGCATTTAAAACAAACATTTACTATAAATTAAAGGTATCTTATATTATTAGATATATTATTATAAAACATGCTTTAGTTAAGGAGTTATTAATACTTCAAGTGCAAAATGATGATATAAAACCTTGATAAAAATGCACTTTTAAGTATTAATCACACCCTCCAACCAGCTTATTACTAGTCTCTAGTAATCAAAGCGTTAAAATAGAAAAACAATTTGCAAATTCCACAAAGCAAGGTATTCATCATTCAACTTCCATTTCTATCCAAATAAACAAACTATCATTAAATTTATATACCTACTCAATACATCTTAATAAGATATTCATAAGCCTTTCTTTTGTGCTCAATGTATCAACACATAATTATGGGGCTTTTGTTAGAAGAAAACAATTTTTTTGTTCTAATGTTTAAGGTTAACTTCCTTGGGTTGAGATTATTATTTTTGTCTTTTTTTTTTTATTATATATACATATAATTTAAAACACCATGCATCTTTAACCCATGTAATGAGCTTCAGCTAATGACTCCCAAACCAGTTGGTCTTAGGGCATTAGGTGTTAAGACACCGCTACGAGCTTAGTAACTCGGGTCGCAGATACTGATATGTAGATAATACAATGTTTGATTCCCTTAAGCTTTTCTCCCTAACCCATGTAACAAGCGTTGGGTCAATAGCTCCCAAGTCAGTTTACTTTAGGGTATTAGGTGTTAAAACACCCCTTCGAGCTTAATGGCTTAGGTTAGGGAGGCTACGAAACCAAATTTACCTATATTTTTATTATTATTTTTTTTTCTTTTTTCTTTTTTTAATTATATACTATCTGTTTTCCTGAGTTGTTACCTTTAACAAAAGAACATAAATAATGTAATAACCCACAATCATATGTTAAAGTGTGTGTGTGTAAATTAAGGTTTAAGAATACATGTTAAATAAGTATATGAGCAGAATTAACTGATAAAAATGTGAGAGTTTGTAAATCTGAATATTTCAAGAAGTATTATGATAGACCTTGTTATGAAAGATTACTAAGATGCGTCTTAACAGTCATAAAAAGTTCTCCTTACTCTGCCATCATAGTAACAACAATTTTGCACATGCTTTATGAAATAGAAAACACAGTTTTTTTTTAACTACTACCCTCTCCCCTCAACTAAAATGAGACATTGTCCTCAATGTTTAAAGGTAGAAAGATAGAGTATAGAAGATATCACCTGAAATAACGAACATTGACAAACCTGAAACACACTGAAACAAATATAAGAAACAACAAAACACAATAATAAAACCAAAAGACACAAAGATTCACAAATGAAGGCTCAAATCCAATCTAAGCGTTTTACGACTTTCCTTAGTTGACCAATTTATGCGACTCATGGAAGGATCAATTATAGGAATGAAAGATTGTAGCTGAATCAACTGTTCAGTAGTAGTAACAGAGATTATGATTCGTCGTGCAGAAGATGTTAGAAATTCTTGTTCCACAACATGATTAAGAAAAGACAACAACTTATAATAATAACCATTAACATTTAACAAACCTATAGATTTATGGTAAATGAGCAGTTGAGCCCAAGAGAAAATATGAAAGATTTCTTCCAATGTGCCTAGACCACCTGGAAAAGAAATGAAAGCATCAACATGGTTAAACATTGCATTCATTCAAGCCGACATTGTGGAGACTTGAAGTTCCTCTCCAATTGTTTTTCCAATGATGTTCCCTTGTGCTAAAGCTTCGGGGACGACCCCCAAAACTTGACTACCTCTTAAAAATGCAGCTTTTGACACACCTCCCATTAACCCAAGACTGCCTCCCTTGACACGACTAAAAGATTGATGTCTTCTCCCAAGTGCAGGAGTGCCAAATTAATAAATACCCCAGCAAGATCGGGGTCGAACCATAGGGAGGTTACTTGTACAAATTATAAATAATAATAATACAACAATAATAACAACAACAACAACAACAACAACAATAATAGTAATAACAATAATGATAATAACAATAAGAACAACAACAATAGTAATAGTAGTAGTAGTAGTAATACTACTACTACTACTATTACTAATAGTAATAATAATAATAATAATAAAGAAGAAGATGAGAACTTTGAGATAGAATATTAATGTAATGATTAAACAATGATAATAACAAATGTCAAGGTTAGAGGATCCACTAATGGTATGTGAAACAAGTATAGTATAAACTCTTATTATTCAATTGGAAACCACACACAAAGGAGGTTCCAATCTGATTATAGATTGTTAACATGATTACATTAGTCATCTTATTCGATTAATACTAATACTTGTAAATTTCATCAAGCATTCATGATTATAACTTATGTTAACAACAAATCAAGTTCCTTTCATAGCTTAGGGGTCGGTTATACCATACAATATGGGCTATGAAAGTGCCAAGCATTTGTTGTACCAAGTGTTATACAACATAAATCAAGATTAGTCATTTAACAAGCAAAGTATTAAAGAGTGAACAAGATAAAGTCCATATTAAGTTTACACTATACTTATTCTTACACCATTAGTGTAACCTTTTCACCTTGAAATAATAAACTTAGCTAGACATAATGAAAGAAAGAAAATTAAATAAACAAAATAAGAACATAAATAAGATAAGAGTTAACTAAGTAAATGAAAAGAAATGAAAGGCATAAACTTGATATTAATGAAAGCAAAGCATAAACATTACAAAAAATACAAAGAGAGAAAGGAAGAGCATGATCTTGATCTGGACACCAAGATGCCTAAATGCATGGCAAATGTCTCCTTTTATAGGCCAAAATTGAGAACTATTGATTTGATGACTAATTGATAAGTGGGTGGCCAACTCTTGACTTGGTGACAATCCTTATCTTCTCTTGTCTGCCCAAAACGTCATTGATAATGTCAAAATTGGAGCCACTTGAAAACATGAAAGTTGTAGGCAATTGTCTCAGCTTTCTTATGTAAAACATTTAGTTCATTTGGACTTCTAGAACTCCAGATATGACCATAATACGGAATAGTGCTCGGGCTGGAGGACAAATTCGGGCTTCTTTGTTGTTGCTACAATTTAGACTTCTAGAACTCTAGTTATGGCCATAATACTGAATAGTGCTCGGGCGGAGGACAAATTCGGGCTTCTTTGTTGTTGCTACAATTTGGACTTGAAAATGGCCTTTTCAGATCCTAGGCTCCATATGAAAGTTGTAGGCCTATGTCTTACCTTTCCATCCATATAATGTAGACCTAAATCTGAGATCTATAGCTCCAGACATGACCCAATTACCAAATAGTGTTACGGTTTAGATTGCACCAACATCTCTTTTCTTAGCTTGGTCATCTCTTTCTCCTTTCAATTTCAGTTCTTAAAGTCATCAATCAATCCTTTTATTTATGTGATAGGCCTGCATTTAAAATGAACATGATTTAAATTAAAGGTCTTATATTATTAGATATATTATTATAAAACATGCTTTAGTTAAGGAGTTATTGATACTTCAAGTGCAAAATGATGATATAAAACCATGATAAAAATGCACTTTTAAGTACTAATTACACACCCCAACCAGCTTATTACTAGTCATTAAACAAACTCTCATTAAATTTATATATCTGCTCAATACCTCTTAACAAGATATTAATAAACATTGTTTTTATGCTCAATGTATCAACACATAATTATGGGGCTTTTCTTTGAAAAAAAGAAATTTTTTGTTCTAATGTTTAAGGTTAACTTCCTTAGATTGAGATTATTCTTTTTGTCTTTTTGTGTCCTTTATATATATATATACATATAACTTAAAACACCATGCATCTTTAACCCATGTAATGAGCTTTGGGTTAATGACTCCCACACTAGTTGGTCTTAGGGCATTAGGTGTTGAGATACCCCTACGAACTTAACAACTTGGGTCGCAGATACTGATATGTAGATAGTGCAATGTTTGATTCCCTTAAGCTTTTCTCCTCAACCCATGTAACAAGCGTTGGGCAAATAGCTCCCAAGTCAGTTTACTTTAGGATATTAGGTGTTAAAACACCCCTTCAGGCTTAATTGTTTAGGTTAGGGAGGCTACGAAACCAAACTTATCTATATTTTTATTATCATCATTTTTTTTTTTGGAGGAAATTATTGCTTTCAGACAATTAACGAATATCCCATAGCACAAGTTCATAGAGTCAAAAGTCAGAATTTTGATTGGTAGGCATTTAAAATACATGGAGAGATTGTTGAGCTTTTTAGATTATCCACCATTTCAAAACGTGTTATGAGCCTGGATGCCATGAAAACATAGTGTGTAAACTTGAGTTCCAATATGAATCTAGCATTGTTATGGGAAAGTCCAAAATTAAAAGATTAATTCCTTGTGTTCCCGAACTCCAGTGCCTGAACTATCCCAGAAATAGTAAGAGACGAAGTTCTCATCAGCTAGGCAAATAAAGCTTAGAGCATCAAACCAAAGCATCGACCCACATGCTAGTTTGCCTTCTTTTAGGGGGTGGGGAGAAAATGGATGTTTGTTGTCCCACTTGTAGCCATCAAATATTTTATACAATAAAAAGAAATCAAAACGACCTCAAGAACAGCAACTGTTTATTTTGCATCAATGCCCTCCTTTTCCTTTGCTCCTTGTGTACATTTCCTTAACACCAATGAACTCTTGTTTGTGTGCATTACTGGATTTCATGTTAGAAAACAGGCCTTGAATTGCCTTATCCACGCAGCAGAAACAGAGAAGTTTATAAATTTCCTTGTGTTTAATGCAATGAAGGAAGAATGAAAAAGAAATTGGCATCACCAATCGACAAGTTCCTTGTGCACGTGCCTTCTTTAGTTTTTAGCCAAAACTATCTGGAGTACTGAGAATGAAAGACCTTACAGCTAAGTCATGTTTGTTCTAAGGAACTGCATTTTTCATTTTGACTTCAATGAAAAATGCCAACTTTGGAACTTGGAACTTTAATGATGACAAGTCTTTGTATTGTTGTACTTCTGTTAATCAAAATTCCGAAATTGGATAGGTGTCAAGATACCTAGTTGTTGAAAATTGTAAATCACTTTTGCTGGGAAACTCTACTAGTATTTTCCTGAGTTGTGACAATCTGCTAAACAAGCTACTGATAGTCAGGAATTCTCTTGTTTGTTTCCTTTCCCAAACCTTCACATATATAACCTACTAACCTTTGATTATGCATGTTTCCAGGTAAAACTCAGGAAACAATATTCACAGTGTGTGAGAGCTTTCTTTCCTCTTGTAATTGCAGGAAACGATATCCACATATTTGATGCAGCAACGCAAAAATTGCTCCTTTTGTCTTTGTTTCAACAATAGTTGAATACCATCAAAAACCTACAATCCATACGGTGTCATACAGGGGCCAGCATCACAAGGTGTGATTTGATAAGCTCACCAGATCTGCTCAAGTTGGTCCTGATTCCCTCAAGCATGCATGTGGCAGAACATTTTGGTTGGTTTCAACAATAGTTCTTGATTATTTATCGTTTCCCTATGACATTCATTTCGGCATGAATTCCTTTTATTGGTATAGAAATAACAATGGCCTTCCAGTGCTCTCCAGCCAAGCATTCATTGTTGTGAACTGCTGCGAAGATATAAACCTAGTCTTCGGAGGCCCCTTTAACAACTAATTTGTGAAAAACTACATGATGGAATGTGCTTACAACGTAAATTAAATTTTGCATTTCAAATTTCCCAAACTAACACGTACCATTTTGATTCCTTTGCTTCGAACGCATGCTGAATAAGGGATTTTACGTTGATAGTGTTCATATCTTACAAATTTGTGGTGCCTTTTCTGTTTTGCCTTCTGCATTTGCGGACATTTCCATTTTTCCTACTTTGATCAATGCTTATGCTCTTGGCACAGGGACAACGTGAAGAATACATATAATTCATACTTAGACAAGGGTAAGAAACGAGTTGGCTGTTAATGTAATCCCTGGATATACATGAAAATAGCCACACTTGGCATATCCAGATTTGTGTACTCTTGTTGAATTGTTATCTCCTTGTTGAGTCCTTAAATGTGCTTTCGTTAGTAATTTGGTTTCAGAACGCCAGTGTATGCCATTTCTAGCAAGTTTCACGCCTCACATCATATTGAACCTATTCCTGCTGCTGAAGATGAGGTAAATCGTGTTCAAAACTATTGGTGCCATACATGCTCGTCTTGTCAGATTGATGCTGAAGCAAACGCTGTTCCAGACTCACTCTGCCCCATAAAAAATTGAACCGGTAGATCAACCGGATAGTTATCACTGTATTTTAAACCCCATTATTTGTTTTAAACATTTTTAACAGCACCTTTATTCAGGAATCCAGCGTGAAGCATTGAAAACTCATCCCGAGGATCTAGTAAATAGAAAACTACATTTCACCGCAATGCTTTGTTTTTTTTTTTTTTGTAGGAGATCTCGGGAACTGATCCCTTGATATATCATTTGGGCTACGCCCATGTACATTCTTGGCTGCCAATTCTCTTTCTAAATGAAATTAATTTGAATTCATCGCTAGTCCTGATACCTACCTTAGTGTTAAAGAGTTTTTTTTTATATGCCGATTCTGCATCTTGCAAAACATGCAGCCAGAAGAGCTTATCCCGCATCCAGTGGGTACCATATGTCAAGAAACTTGGAAGCAACCAACACTTCTCCTCCCTTCTCATGATCTCCACCAGCCCTTTTCTTGAATACCAATCTATTTACTGAACCATGATCTCATGTTATAATGATTTGATGTCATAATGTTTATTTGGAATTTCATCCTTCTACTCTAGTGGATGATAAATCTTCTCTCCCCGCCATCATCTGATTCAGTAGTTTTGTACTTTTGCCTACTCTTGATCAATACAAAACAACTCATGAAATTGGAATGAAACCCATGCACAAATATATATTTTTTATCCTTTTTGTGATAGCACTTGCATATTTATGTCTGAAGAAATGATTTATTGTCAAAATCAATAACGAATGATCTCTGCTAGTCATGAAGAATCTGGATGCAATCTGGGAACCATAGCTGATGAAAGCTCAATGTGAGAGACACGGACAGCACCAATCAACTGCTCTGGCAATTCTTCTGTAGTATTTGCCTGTAAAAAAGGGGGAAATTAAAAGGAGAATGGTAAAATTTTAACAGATCCACGGTAAATGGTTTAGTATTGCCTCTCCATGCATCACTATATATACATAAATCTCAAAGCATAAGAGCAGCTTGCATCGTTACCATACCAACAATTACTAAAATGCAGCCAGAGCAATATTCCCTGGTTCTCACACTAATAGCAACTACTTTTAGCCCCACTTGAAATGAGCGATGAAGCATTACAATGAATGTAGAACATGAAAGGATGCACGTGCAATGGCAACAGTACCAAGGGAGCTTAAAAGAGATCCAAAGTGCTTTTTTGCATTTCATTTTTTCGTTCAAATATTATTTAAGGACAGCGACTATTCATCATAACTGAGATAAGTAGTTTCCTGTTTCAGTTTTACCTTATCAATCGATCAAATCTCTCTTAAATTTCCTAGTGAAACTTGGCATTCCAATTTTCAAAGTGTTGATGAAACTTTTTTCAAGACTAATGAACAACCAAGATATTTTTTTTATTACAATATAGCATACTAATCCTAGTAAGTGATCATAAGGGCTTAGTCCTCTTAAACCTTGTAGCTTGCTCATGAGTATGAATGCATTGTCCCTAATTTCAGTTGGTAGCCTTCCTGCTCATATAAATAACTGAGATGGTTCTATCAAATAGAGCCTCCCGCATGACACACCTGTACTAGGAAAGCCATGTCAACCACCAATGTTGGACTTGCGCCCATTACAAGCCACAGAACTCCAGAAGCAACTGCGGAAGAACCAATATCAACATCGACCTACAGATGCATAAAACTAGTTTAGACCATGCTAATGTATTGTTCAAGCAATTCACAGTTACAGATTTGTGTGGCACTTACTTCCAGGTATTTGGGACCACGGATGTAGTTGCACTCAACTGCTTTTCCCAATAAACATGGAGTGCTTCCTACACTTTGGCGCATAATCCATGAACCCTGCATGGTTCAATATAGAAAGCAGCTTAGTCATGCTGAACTCATTGCACATATCCATGAACCCAGCAGGATTCCAAAACACTACCTTGAGAACTGATGGAAGAAGCTTAAACCTACTGTTTCGGAATTCATCATCACCATCAACAAATCGTTGCAAGAGAGATCCAGGTACTAATTCCTTTGTCACAAAGTAAAATACCATGCTGTAGTGTGTTGAACCAGGTACCTGTGATAAATGATATAAAACACAGTTGTTCATTGTTGAAATGGAGCAACTGAAATTCAAACCACCTGGTAGAATAAACTTACTTGCAGATTAAAAACCACAGAGAAAAGCCCTTTCTCAGAAGCAACCTACACAGGCATTTAAAGAAGTGCATAGGCAAGTTAGAGCCATCATACAATTGACAACCATCTACTTCTTAAAAATTATTCAATCAGTATGGACAAGGTTGACCAAGCTATTTCAACTCTTAGGATTAATCAGATACAAATATGGTCAAAAGCAGCTCTGCCCACCAACACCAACTGGATAAAGTACTGAGATTATTTATATTTAATAAGGTCCATTGGCAGACCAAAACAAATTATTTCAGAGAAGTGTGTTTTGAAGTTGTGAAACAAACAGCACCAAAAGAGAAGAGTGGGGGAGCCTGGAAGGTCTTTACTTGTGCTACAGAACCTCGATGCCTGGCAACATGGTCCATTCTTTTCGTGTCCTTGAACCAATCCACAGCAACAAGATCCATCAAATGTTTTCCAGCAGGGACCTTCATATGCGCATTGCATAGAGTGCAATAAGTGTAAGTCAAACAAGGTCATAAGATGATGACTTTCTAACTCCAGATGTACCTACTAAATAAATGAAAAAAATGGTAGGGAACCTTTGATTTGTCATGAAAAAAATGCTTGCTGCGAACTCTGAAGTTGTCTCCAGCAGATATTTGCCAGCAGTCACGGGCATTGTCATGATCATCACGATGTAAGTTACCAGAAAAGCAGGATAAATCAATTTGATCCACTGGTTGTTTCTCCAAGACTGTTTAAACAATTGTTATTTAAATTCCCAAACAGTTCCATAAAAGATTAAACTTATTAAAATGAGCAAAAAAAAGACATGTTGAAGCTATCATCCACCTGTTCTCTTTGAATTGTTCTTATGCTGAGTTGGGTTATTCTGAAAATTAGGAAGCAAGAGTAGTGTTTACATTGTTGATGTAGAAATCATACAAGGGCAAGATGTCAGCCATACCTCTTCTTCTTCCTCAGTTATTTGAAATTCTTCATCCTCATCGGAGTATTCATCCATCAGTTCAGAACTTACAATTTTTTGGGGTGAAATATAACCTGAGGTCATAATGGCTATGGCTGGGATTCTTGTATGGGCATCTCTTTCATCTCTTTGGGCACACCATTCACGTAGTCCTGTCAGAAAAGGCAACATAACCATTACTAAACCAGAAAAAATGGAGCATTGAGATTGAAGGAGTGCTTACTCAATGACCAAACAGGAATTAGAAACATCAAGTTACTGTTGAGTTGTGGCTTAAATTGGTGAGTTGGCTTAGGGTAGATTGGTAATTGCATGGAGTTGTGTCCTAAACAAGAATGAAATGTGTTGATATATTTCGTTTAGGAAAAGAGACTTTTCTTGTTGGAGTTGGCCTTGAAGTATGTTTCCTAATGAAAATAAGACTTTATTGCAATTATAAATATCACGAGTTGTGGCAAATATTTGTGCGCCTCTAATATTGATGGTGTGTGGCAGCAACCACAAATCTTAGATGGTAGAATTCTTTGGTGTGGGCCATGGTGGGTTTTGTGAAATGGTTGCCTTTGTGAGGCCTGGTAGTTGTGAAGATTCTAGATGTAACCGGGTTTTCGATAATAAGGTATTTATTTGTGTAGTGTTTGATTAGTGGATGTAATCTCCAATCTTTTATAGTGAAGTTTTGTGGAGTATGCTTTGCCAAATCGTTATATTTCATGTCCCTTCTAACAGTTACATGTTTCATTACTTCTTAGCCTTTGGCATCAACTCTATTTGATCAATAATGAATTAAAAAAAAAAAACCCCAAAGAATTGGTAAATTCGACTAGATATGATATTGATGAGAATGAAAATAATTAAAGGAAACAAACAAAAGGAAAATTAGCACATCCAACCCAACCCCAAACCCAGACTTCCAGATAAGAGGAAGTAGTGCAAAGCATATAAGAATGACAATATATGAAGTTGAGCAATTTTAGCATACAATACTATTGTTTTGCCTTGCTATGGTTAATAAGAGAAGCAGGAAAGAAGTGCTTCTTCCACACTTAGCTCTTAGCTGCTTTTCTATGATAAATTGTTCGATCTTTTTTCCACAACATTTTTATTCTAGAAAATGATAAATCAAAGCAGCTTAACTTTTGAGCACAACAAGGCCAAATAAACCTATCAATTTCTGACAAGAGTGGCCGATTTCAGTGAGTTAATCACAGAAGGAACTCACCAGCGATATTATTTAACATCTCAAGAAGACAATGCTGCTGAAATGATGGAATGTAACCCACACCCCATCCCTTCAGATCAATCTGCATATGATGCTGCACCTGTGTTCTAGGTCTCCCATTACGAGGTTTCAAAGGGGAAATATTGAAACCTCCACCTGTAAGTCAGAATGTAGCTAAAAACTATCAGAAACTCCGATGATAGATTCCTAAATACAAACCAAAGGGACGGGAATTTGGGGCTTACTCTCAACATGAGCACGCACATAACCTGATTGTGGAACACAGTTTTCATGCTCTATAGAACGAAATAATACAACTGCACAATAACAAGAAGGTTAAGCTTGTGACAAGTTAGAAGATCAAAATTGATTTGGACAAGCAAAAACATTTACCATAGCTTCCATCATCATTTCACCGCCAATACCTTACATAGCAAAGGTCACGGGACCACACAAACCTGTAGCCCATTTATATGTAAGTGACAGAAGAAGATAATAT